CCCAGATAGCCATTTGCATCAGAAGTAGCCCCCAGAGCAAAGCATGCTCTGGGTGTAGTACATTCCGATGTGTGTGGACCATTTCCAGTACTTTCACTTGGAGGAAACAAATATTTTGTGTCTTTTGTGGATGAGTTCACAAGAATGACATGGGTAACACTCATCAAGTTCAAGCATGAAGTATTTACTGAGTTCCAGAAGTTCAAGGTGAAGGCTGAGAAGCAGAGTGGTCAGAAGCTGAAGATTCTGAGAATAGATGGTGGAGGTGAGTATAACTCTACAGAGTTCCAGAAGTTCTGTGAGGAGAATGGAATAGAACATGAGGTTACTGCTCCATATACTCCTAAACACAACGGTCTTGCTGAAAGAAGAAACAGAACTTTGCTTGATATGACCAGAAGTATGCTGAAAGAGAAAAAGTTACCTCACGTGTTATGGGGAGAAGCTGTTGCCACATCAGCATATGTTCTGAATAGGTGTCCAACAAAAAAGCTGAAGGAAACTGTTCCTTTAGAAAAATGGACTGGAGACAAGCAAAGTGTTAGCCATCTGAAGGTGTTTGGTTCTGTATGCTACAAACACGTTCCAGAGGCTAGAAGACGAAAACTGGATGATAGAAGTAAAACAATGTTACTGGTGGGGTACCACAGTACAGGTGCCTACAAGCTTTATTGTCCAGAAACCAACAAAGTTGAAATCAATAGAGACGTCATTGTGAAAGAGTCAGAAACATGGGATTGGAACAAGCTTCAATCAGATTCTGGTGTATCGCCAACACCAGGGTTAGTTTCTGAAGATCCTTCAGAAAGTTCTGAAGACGAGTCAGAGTCAGAAGATGAAGACTCTGAAGATGAGTTAGAATCTCAGGGAGATTCTGACAGTGGATCTGATTCTGATCCAGATTCTGATGATGATCTAGAATCTGGCGGTGATTATACTTCTGGAAGGGAAAACTCTGAAGACATGGGGTATGGAGAACAAGTTTCCAGAAGTAACTCTGAAGGCAGTAACTCTGAAGGAAATAATTCTGGAGAAGCTTCAGAACAAGATCAGAGGCCACAGAGAATCAGACGAATACCAAGTAGGTTTGCAGATTTTAGCATGTTGCATGATACTGAAGTAGATTTTGAAGGAGAAATCGTTCAGTGTGCCATGCTAGTAGATTCTGAACCAATGGGTATTGAAGAAGCGCTCAAGAAGAAAGTATGGCTGAATGCTATGAAAGAAGAACTTGAGGCTATTGAAAGAAACAAGACTTGGAAGCTGACATAATTTCCAAAAGGCAAGAAAGCCATCAGCGTCATATGGGTTTTCAAGAAGAAGCTAAAGCCAGATGGATTAATCGGCAAACACAAAGCAAGACTAGTGGCCAGAGGTTTTCTTCAGAAACCTGGACTAGATTACTTTGAGGTGTTTGCGCCTGTAGCTAGACACGAAACAATCAGACTGGTGATTGCTTTAGATGCAAACAGAAATTGGTCTTTGATACATCTGGATGTGAAGTCTTCATTTCTGAACGGTCCATTACAGGAAGAAGTTTATGTGTCACAACCTCTTGAATTTGTGAAAAAGAATCAGGAAGGGATGGTATACAGGTTGAATAAAGCTCTGTATGGACTGAAGCAAGCGCCCAGAGCTTGGAATCTGAAGATCGGTTCGTTTTTCAAGGAACAAGGGTTTCAGAAGTGTGAGATGGAGTATGGTGTTTATGTTCAGCACACTTCAGAAGATAATATGATTCTGGTCTGTTTGTATGTTGATGACATATTACTCACAGGAAGTTCTGAACAAGAAACAGCTGAGTTCAAGAAAGTTCTGATGGATGAGTTTGAGATGACAGATCTTGGAAAAATGAGTTTCTTTCTAGGGATGGAACTTATATACTCTGAGAAATGAATCATTTTACATTAGAAGAAGTATGAACTAGAGCTTCTGAAGAGATTTGAGCTAGCAAATTGCAAAGTTGCTATCACACCTGCTGATACGAATCAGAAGTTGGACTCTGATTCTGATGGAGAGGATGTGGACGCTACAACCTTCAAACAGATGGTTGGTTCTCTGAGGTATTTGTGTAATACCAGACCTGATATTTGTTATGCAGTTGGAATGGTCAGCAGATACATGAGCAAACCAAAGTGGTCTCATTACCAAGCTGCTGTCAGGATTCTGAGGTATGTAAAAGGAACTCTGAAATATGGAGTGTTATTTCCTTCTGGAGGAAAGATCAAATCAAAACTTCTGAGCTATTCTGATTCTGATTGGTGTGGAGATAGAGTTGACAGAAGAAGTACTTATGGGTACTTGTTCAAGTTTCTGGGAGGTCCAATTTCTTGGAGTTCCAAGAAACAGCATGTTGTGGCTTTGTCGACATGTGAAGCTGAATATATTGTTGGTGCTGTAGCTGCCTGTCAAGCAATTTGGCTTCTGAATCTGCTGCATGATCTGAAGGTTGAAGTTGAGGAACCTCTGAAGCTGATGATTGATAATAAGTCTGCAATTAATCTTGCAAAGAACCCAGTGCTACATGGCAGAAGCAAGCACATTGAGACGAAGTATCACTTTCTCAGAAGTCAAGTGCAGAAAGGAGTGTTAGAAGTTCTGCACTGTAGCACTCAAAAGCAGCTGGCAGATGTTCTGACAAAGGCAATAAAAACAGACCAATTTATGCGCTTGAGAGATGAAATTGATGTTGTTAACTTCTGATAAATTACTAAATTACGGGATGATATTAGAGGGTAATTTAGTATTTTGTTATTTGTAGATAAGTATTGATTAGGGCCTATGTGACATTCTTATTTGTGTATAAATAGGTGTACTAGGTTTACATTTATAAATAAAATTCTTCAATCATTTGCTGTCAGCTTTTAGGCATTTATTCCTTCCTTCTTCTTCCTCAAATTCATCACCTTGCACTAACAATATACATATATTATATAGTTCAACTATTCTAATCATTCTACTAGTATGGTTTCATTTTAGTTAAAGCATCTTAAAGTTGTTCAGTTAAGAGACTATGACCCTAACGTCTCATTACTTCCAAGTCCTCCTTGACGTTTAGAGAATTGTTCACTCCACTACATATATTACTATCAAATTCAAAGAAAAATTCAAATCACTTTTTCCAACTGTCTGAAAATTGAAATCCAAATGCACCAAAAAGACATCGATCTGAGACTATATTGAATATGTATCAATAGAGATGGCAGTCAGACTCAAATTCACAGGGACTACCCGCACCCGAACACAAGTTAACATGTGAAAATCCAAATTGATTGAGTTCGGGTTCGGGTGCCACCCAATATTTCAAATATGGGTTTGAATTCATTCAAACTCGTACTCAAAACTACATCCCCTTATATATATATATATATATATATATATATATATATATATATATATATATATATATATATATATATATATATATATATATATATATATATATATATATATATATATATATATATATATATATATATATATATATATATATATATATATATATATATTGTAAAAATTTAAAATCTTAATTTTAATTGTAATGTTACCAAACTTAGATGGAAAGTTGTAATTTAATTCTTTAATTTCTTTTAGAGACCTTAATAGAATTTTTGTGTTTCAAATTTCAATATTGTTGTAATTTGTGTTTTTGCTGCGGGTTCGGATTTGGGAACTTAAATGGAAAGTTGTAATTTAATTCTTTAATTTCTTTCAGAGACCTTAATAGAATTTTTGTGTTTCAAATTTCAATATTGTTGTAATTTGTGTTTTTGCTGCGGGTTCGGATTTGGGTGAAAAACCAGAACCCAACAAGTGTAGATGTAGGTGTGGGCGTGAGTGTTATTTTACCACCTGAATAATCTTTGGACTTGGGTTCAAATTCAAGTGATGATTTCGAATGCAGATTTAAATAGTGTAAAACCTGCACCCGACCCTACCGTTGCCATTCCTATGTATTAGGTATATATGTATAGGGTAAATAGGAATTTCAATCTCCACATACATCCTTCAGACAGTGAGAAAGAGGTACTTTTGAATTTTCACCAAAGTAGGTGAATAATGATACTTTTGTAATTAATGATATGGGGTGCAGTGAGCAATTCCTAATTTTTAATACATTGCTTGAATGTAGTACTCTGATTAAACTAGAAAAGCAGTGAGCAATTTCTAATTTTTAATACATTGCTTGAATGTAGTACTGATTAAACTAGAAAAGAGTTCAGTATATCTCATCTTTGTTCTTTTGGACAATAAAATGTCAAACAAAAAATGAAATGCCGAAAATAAAACACCAAATAATCCCCTTACTAGCATCATCTTTTATTGGAGGCCATGTGGGACAAATAAAACACCAGCAACCACACAAACAACTGATTCCATTAAAAAAACATAGCAATAGCATCAAATGTTTACCGTGACACCAAATGAATTAAATATTTTCAAAGAGTACCTCAAAATATTAGAGGAGTCATAGCACAACCACGTGAAAAAAGTTGATCAAAATGACAATTTTGAACTTAACTTACAACGTTGAGATATAGCAGCCCTCTTCAGCCATTCCAGACCTTTCAAGCCTTTGTTTGCTGTCCAGTTTGGCTTCTGATTTTCAGTCTTCAATAATGAGCAAGGGATGAAACACTGCTACGGTCAACTGGTCCTAGGTATTAGAAATATTACACAATAGTCTTTCCTTTCCACTATGTAAAGATTAAAAATAAAACCATCCTCATATAACAATTCAAAATGCAGCCATCATCTCTAATCTGTAAATTTCTTCTTTCATGTAAACTATAGTATAACACCAGTTCCACTTGAAAAAAATAACAAAGTACCAGTAGCATCAGTGTCCACTAACATACTCTTCACTGACCCTAACTTTGGGAAGCGTTGAGAGCTATACAACAAGAATTGCAAAAAGAATAAAGTGAATCAAGATTAATGTGCGACCAGACTTGTCAACAATAGTAGCCAGGTCAAGAAGGAAAGTTTTGAACTTTGAACTACGCCTGAAGATTGCACTGTTGCAGAAAAGGGTGGTCAAAATTCAAATATTTGGTCCAGTAACTTTTATATCTGCCCATTGCAATATCTAACCATGGCTTCCTAATACCATCGTAGTGTATAACGGCAGCCTGCTCGATCTCATTTCGATCAACTCCTGAGTTATGACCGAGGCCAAGAACGTGCCATCGTCTGTCCAACACCTCCGTCTTGTTATAGAAGGTAAGCCAACCTAAAGGAAGACGTTCGTTGTTCCGATTCCACAATGGCTTCTCAGAACCCTGAAACATTCACCCCAACAAATACATAGATCATTACTGCATTATAATGGCTGATCAAAGTACTAAAAAAAAAATCTTATCTAACCATACCATTTGTGAATATTTGTGATAAACAGCCGTTAAATTATGTCTCCTCCATTGTTGCAAATCAAACAAATTCATCCCAAACGCCCATGTGCAAGAATTGGCATCAAAACTCTCTCCGATTAGTGGATCTGTGAAGTTTATGAATGCATCAATCCTATGAAATGGGGTTTTTCCTTCCTGACAAGTTCCAACTGCTCCAATAACATTTCCCTTCATATCGGCATTCCATAGTACACTGAGATCTTGTTGAACCACCACATCATGATCAAATATCACAATCTTATTTAGGGCAGGGAAAATGTCTGGCAGGTAGAAAAGCAAGTAGATCAATTCAGAAGTGTATTTTGGATTGCTGTTATTATTTTTACCGAAGGTATTGTATTTGGACAACCATTCAAAGTTTTCTGTGCTCTGTACATGGACTGTGGCTTTGCCAGGAGGGTTTAAAAAGAACCACATTGAGATTGCTGGCAAGTTGAGTGAATCGGTCACTATATGGAAAACAAGTTTCTCTGGTTCCTGCACTTAAAAAGCCACTATCAAGCTTTCTCGCCACTATATTAAAACTTAATAATTAACATCTAGTCAAAAATAAGAACTGATATAATAGGTTTAGGAATAGTGAAAAACGAGAAAGACAACAAACAATAACACTGAGTATACTATTGATGGGAAGGATATAATTTTGTTACAATCAGTGTTGTCGATGGAGGATGGCGGTCCATGGCGGAGACCCAAAATCCGGCCATACCGGCCGCTTTGTGGCGCCGTCATAGCGGATTATGGTGGAAAAACCAGCAATATCGGCCAACATTTACCATTGCTGCGAGCTCAAAAACAGCCATGTATATCTTCCATAGCAGTCATAGCGCCGCTATTTGATAACACTGGTCAATAAGGAATGGAAGAGATTTGACAAACATCAACAGTCCAAATAACCACTAAAGGACTAAGCTTAAGCTTCTCTACATTGAAATAACTTGATAACTAAACCTATTGCCATCTGTTGTTTTTTTTCTTTTCTCTTTTTCAGCAGTTGAATTAAGAGTTGCGACTAAAGCATTTGCTGAAAAGTAGAAGTAACGAATGGCAATGTGAAAAAGGAGCAATCTAGTGCGACAAAGCTCTCACCCTAGTTGGCGGAAGTTAAATCAATATAGAAAAAACAGGTATTTACCTTGGCAGTAGAGACAGTAGAGTTAACAACAACTGCACATGCCAGAACATTGTCGGAGAAGACAGCATAATGATAAAGATCTGGAAGATGAATCTTATTTTCATTTGGAAGCTCTCTCTCCTCAGGTCTCAGGGAAAAATATTCAGTAGTCAGCCTCATAGAAAGACAGTGAAAGTTTTTTTGGGCAGTCCTTACAGCAAGATGAACAAGATATGTCGCTTGGCTTCTCTGAAAACGAACTTGCTCTTCAGTTTTGCGCTTCATTGCTTGAAGCTTAGAAACCATAGAGCAGTCAGAGAAAGCACGGCTGACAGTAGATAGTGAGGCTTCCATGTGTCGCATTGCCTGCAAAACACTGTGAAACTTCGCTTGTTTTCATATTGAAAAATAGTCATTTTTAGGATTCAAGTCAAATCAAAGCTGGATATGAGGAGAACTATTGTAACTGATTAATTAACTCACTTATATGCTAATTACTATCTAATAGGCTTCCACAAGCTAGATATGAGAACTATCGAAACTGATTAATGAACTCAGTTACAAGCTAATTACTATCTAATAATACAAGGGTTCAACTGAGAAAACTAGAATTTGTTGGACCAAATGAAAAAAGGTGCCACAAATATAGTAGTATTCTTTTGAAATTTCAAGACTGGGTTTGTTAAATACACTTTTCTGAACTAAATGCAAGCACGGAACTACATGAGAAACTTTACCTCCTTGACAAATCTCTATCCCGGGTGACTCCTTCTACTCTTCGTTCCATCTCTTTCATTTGCAGCTCCAGCTCCTTCAAGTGTGAGTTGCTGCTTGGCGGTGCAAACTTCAAGTATACTTTAGCCATTAAAATTTGATCCTTAATCTCTTGAACCTTCTGATTTTTCACTTCCCGAGAGGGAGGGTTTAAAATACGATGACGGTCTTCTCTTTTGACATTCTCCTTTGACATTCTATACGGAACAGCTTGTTTTTGACGAGATGGCCTATTTGTCGAGGTAATATTCTCCTTTGACATTCTATATGCAGCATGTACATTTATATCGTCATCCGAAGAGGATGAATCTTTCTTCCGAGCATCCCCATCTTGCCTTTCATCTTGGCTGAATCCTGAAACTTAATAAAGATGAAAATTTCACAGTCCTTAGTTTATTACTTGAGGGGAATTATGAAAAACTCAAAAGATTAACAGTTCAACATAAACCTACATGGCTACATATACCAACCATTTCTTTCCAACGCTGGAATTCTAGATTCCTCAGCATCATTATTCTTTTTTGAATCGTAACTAATTGTTGAAACGTCTTTTTCTTTATAACCAACTAGATTTTGCTCTTTAAATTCTTCAGCACCTCCATGTTCTACAACATTTAACTTCAAACCATCTGTCCTGTATGTCTGCAATAAAAACAATTAAACAAATTCAATTTCCACAGTTTGGGATAACAACCTATGAATTCGGATTACCTTTAAAAAAAAATCCATAATTAAGCCATGTTTTGATAAAAAAATAATTAATGTTATGTATAAGCTATTTCTATAACAAAAGATAAAATATTCTAGAATTTTGTTCATATAAACTATAAAGTGTTTATATAAACTATCATAGAAAAAACTTGTGGAAATAAACTTCCAGAAAACTCACCGACACTGGAACACACTAAAAAACGTTGTATACGGGGGCGAAGTAGAATCGCATTTGAATAACCAAAAAAAAAAAAAGAGTAAAGGGATTCTTACAACGCGATACAAATCTTGAAGGAACTCTCTTCTCCCTGAAACAACAACGATACAGAGAAAAATTGAAGTCAAAACGAGTAAAGGAAAAAGCGGAATTACACGAAGTAACAAGAAAATAAAATTACCGAGGAAAATGAGAGGAGCAACAACGGAAAGAGAGAGGAGAGAGAGAATAATGATCCTTTGGCGTTGACGAATTTGCTTCATGAGGTTGATAATGGAAGTGTGGGAAGCAAGTGCATTTGGAAGATTCAGATCCCAAACTGTGGATTCAATTCAATGCTTTGATCTGAATCATCTTGAACTTGTTCGTTCTTGTTTATTTTCAATTTTTGTTCTTGTTATTTGCGTGTTCTTCGTAGCCAGAGAGTGTTTATAGATTTGGAAGAGTGAGAATAAGCGAAGACAAGAGTATTTTTCTTTTCTGTCTTATCTTTCGCGTTGAAGCTACATGGTGACTACAGCACGTGCTACTCAGGCGCGTCACGCGAATGATTCTAATTTAATCGTCATTTATGAATATTAATTATAGTAATCATAATTGTTTTATTTCTACTTTTTCTATTTTTTAAAATAAATATTTTTTTTAAACATAAAAAATAAATTTCTCTTTCGAGTATAAATATAATATTTTTTTCACTATTATATTAGTTTTCACATTTTTTAAATACTCTACTGACTATAATAATTAAGAATATTTTAGTAAATGATATTTATTTTTATCATTAAAATCAATAATATTTAATTATTTTTTTAAAAACTGTGCAAAATTCGAATAATTTATTATGAGACGAAAGAAGTACTATTTTTATTTTTTTTCACATAATCATATTTCCTCTGAATTCATGTCTCAAACAAAATATAAATTATAACAAAGAAAACCAGCAAATCCAATTGGCAATAACATTGAAAAATTAAATATCCTAATCATATTGAATTATGCAATGTCTAGTCAATTGAGTTATGAATAATCGTCAATTCTATTGAATGTGTTACAGGTTTTTTATTTTAATTTAATTAGTTGATTAAAATAATTAAATAAAAATTAATAATATTTAATTTAAATCATATTACATTTGAGAATATTTTTTAAATTAACAATGATAACTCGTTTGATCATACATGTGATCGATTATACACTTTTAAGGTAAATAAGATTATTAGTTAGTTCATGGAAAATGTTCTGGACTGGTCCAATGGCTAAGCAGGGCCCAATCCACTTCTATATGTAGAACGATCCAATAACCTTGGCCCAATAATACGTGAAGGATAAAGTACATTTTATATCTTTCTCCCTCACCCGATGAGCTCTAGTCGGCTGACCTCCAGGGTCTGCACGGTTACATTTGCCCGCTCAAACATGCTATTTCTCATCATGTCAAGCCACACGAGGGCAGACACTCAGGAACGAACAAAAATCACACTTGCCCGTGAAATACTTCTTTGCCCGTCGTAACAGCTACTTCCGAGCATCACTGGTCGTTATAACGACTAGTTCCTGACAGTTGCCTATTTTTGAGGAACCTGATATCTAAGCCCAAAAATAGAAACCAATGGCCAAGCGTCGGGGGCACTATATAAACTCTCACACTTGTGAGGATCAGGTATTCAACATTCACTCTAAAAAACCATAATCTCTTTCTTGTATCTCTTTGCACTCTTACTTACTTGAGCATCTGAGTGCCTTGCAGGTACACCCCATCCCCCTCATTAATTCCAGCTTTGTAGACGTCATATATTGGCCCACTCCAGGTTCTGGTTAATCGACAAGATCAATGGCGCAGTCTGTGGGAACTCTTTCTTTCCTCGAAACTAAAGATCAAAGTGACATTCAAAGATTCCTATCATGGTCGGTCATAATGACAACCATCTCTCTGGAAAAAATGTGCTCTCTTCTGTCCGTAAAACAGACGAAAGTAGAGGACTACCCTCCTCGAGGATATCCCCGAGAAGAGAGATAACCAAATTGTGTCTCCCTCCTCGATTGAAGCCGACGATGATGACATCCATTTCTTGGAAAATAAAAAGTCCAAGAAAGTTCCTGAGGAGCTACCAGCAATCCTCCAACCAATCCCAGTTCCGGACAACGTCAATCAGGCCATGGCAGCTCTACTCACTACCCTTAATCAGACCAATGCTCTGATCCTACACAAAGCAACAAAATTGGAGCTTGGGAAAAGAAGCACAATCAACATCTCCTCCTCTGAGATATCGACGATATGACTCCCGCAGTTCATCCCCAATAAAGTGTTGCCAACGTCTCGCGCGTGAAGAATCAGAAGTCTCGTTTCCCAAGAAATAGGACCGTACCCCCGGGAGAGATTGACCTCCCTGTTCACCAAGAAGACAATGGGTAATCAACAACCAGACAACGACCGCTCTCCATCTCCCAAGCCAATGCACCAGCCAGACAACGACCGCTCTCCATCGCCCAAGCCAATGCACCAGTCGAGGAGTATATCTCTTCGTCGGCACAACAACCCCCATCGAGGAAGAAACAATTATTCTCCACCCTAGTCACCAGATTGAAGTGACGACGACGAGCCCTGTGACCCATTAACTAGAGAAATTATAGAGACTCGTCTCCTTGTTGGGCTAGAGAAACCCCTAAATCTAGGGACATACGATGGGACTGCAGATCCAGACGAGCACATCGAGAACATCAATGCCTTGCTCGACTAAAGAGGTGACTGATGAGCAATCAAGTGCTAAATCTTGCCTACCACACTCAAAAAGAGGGCATGTCTTAGTACAAAAGCCTTCTCGATGAGTCAATCACGTCTTGGAAGAACCTAGGGAAACAATTCTCCAGGAACTTTATGGCATCTCGCCGTCACCCCTAATCAGAGGCATCATTGGAGGCCATCATCCAAGGGAAGGATGAATCCCTCTGAGCATATATAGAGAGATTCAACAAAAAATTCGTCCAGGTCTCCACGACTGACAGGATGAAGAAGTATCTCCTCGAGCGAGGATTACACTCCCACAACGACTTTGTCAAAGTAGTTGGCATAGAAACTTCTGCAACACTGTATTCCCTCCTGCTCAAGGCACAAACGTATATCTAGTATGAGGAGAAAGAAGCTGCCAACAACGCACGAGACTCGCGACATTGAGAGAATGAAATTTTTTCAAAGAACGACGAGCCCTCAATATCCCGTCGGGGAGCAGAAAAGAAAAGGGAGGATAAACCCCGCAACTCGCGGGACTACAAAGGGTCGACTGGTCATTTCCACAACTACACACCCTTGAACGCCTTGCGTGAGTGCATCCTGACCGATTGCACCAACTTCGAGTTCCATCAAGTCGGGATCCAATTTCCTCGACAAATGTTGTCCAAGTCAGGGACAGACAAAACTAAATATGTCGGTTCCATAAGAGCCACGAGCACACAGCTGAAGACTGCATCCACCTGAAGGATGCCATAGAGATCCTCATCCGAGATGGGCATCTCAAACAATATAAAAAGAAGGAAGGTCCCCGCGAGGATGCTCAGGAGTCTAAGAAAGTCGAGGAAGATAAGCCTTCCCCCGACGAAACCCTCATGCCCATCGCCATGAGCATCACCCGGCCAGAAGAATTCTACTTCCCCGACTTGAACGAGGTCTCTCTATACTTTGCAACACACAGTCACTGGGAAACATTTCCATCCGTAATGGTTATATCCGACAGGGATTCAACACATGTATCGTGGGCTCAGTGAAGAGAATATTTGAGCAACTAATAGACGCAAGCTCAGAAAAGAATGCCACCCTCGATAAATTCAGAGGGAGTTCTCCCCCATCGCGTTTTATCGAGAAGAGATTCCTAAGGGAGATCCTAATTCCAACATTCCTCTGCTCATATGAGCATAAATGGCCAATTTCTATGTCAGGCACATCTTGGTCGACCAAGGCAGTTCAATTGATATCATATACTCCTAATTGTTCACCACTTTGCAGCTCAACAAGACGCACACGACCTCTTACGTAGGCTCTGACCTCCAAGGATTCAACTGGTCGATCACCAAATCTTGGGGCTATGTTGAGCTGATCGTCACGTTTGGGGCAGCAAAAATGGTCAGATCCGTCAAAAATCAGTGCACCTTGGGGAGACTTATCCTGGCCAATTTGATATCGGTGCCCTCTGTAGTGGTAGAAATGTTGAGACTAAGTCAATGGATTGACTTAACTCGTACATATCAAATAAAAATCATCACTGCACTTTATTGTTTCCAAAGGAAATGGGAAAAGAGCAAATAAAACCAAAAAAGAGGGGGAGAGAATCTAGGTACGTGGGTTGGTTATGCAAAGAGAATGTATTAACACCCTAAACATCTATGGTACTCTGCAGGAACCTCTTCAAAAACTTGTGTATTTTGGCTATAAAAGGTGTATACAAAATAAGATGGTGGAGATGAGAAAAGAAGTATTTTTTTACAATTTTTGCACCCTCTGCGGTTGTGAACCTTTAGTGCCTATGTACCACCTTTCGTGCAATAGGAGATCAGGGTACTCGTAGTTTACCTCAAAAGTTTTAAAACACATGTGTGTTAGTTAATTCTAAGAGAAGAGACATTATCGTCATATCCGAGTGGAAAACATACTTACTACCCATGATTATGAGAAAGGAGAATTTGCATCATCTCAAAGTGGAGGATATAGCTTAGATTTTAAAATCAAAAAAGCCCCACTCAACACCCAAGTGGAAAATATCTCACTTTACTACATATCATAGAAGTATAATAGCTTGCATCACTACAAGAATCAACAAGAGTCTAATATTTTGATAAAAAGGTTTTAAAGTAAAAAACCAAAGTGGAAAAAATAGTTTGAATGAGGTTAATTGAATTTTAGTCTTTCAAAAACATATCAAAGTATGGTTAAGTTGATTAAAATTTGATTAAGAAAAGATTTTTTAAAATGCATGGACCTAAGTCCAAGTTTGTTATGAAAGCGGTTCAAGTTAGAAAACACAAGAAGAGTTTTGAAAAGGAGGGAGAAGATTTTTGAAATTAAAGAAGATGGGAGGAGATGAAGGAGCTATCCTAAAGCATAAAGTAAAAGCTAAGGAAAATAAGGTCTAACCAACAAGAAGCTAACACTTGACATAAAGAAGTCAATGTAGAATTCTTATCCTTTGGATTGAAACCAAGCAAGCAAAAAGGAATACCAAGCTTCAGATGAATTAAGTCTTTAAAAAAATTGGGCAGAGTAACGGTTGTATAT